GAGTGAGTTTTGTCATAGCCCCTCTGTTCAGAAATATCGTTATTTTTATTTATGTACATTTAAGGCACATAAACCTATGTGGTTATTAGTGCCACTCGGTCTTACAAATATATTTTTTTTTTCATTTTTGTATACATCATCATCATCAGTGGTGCTACAGCTCTAGTTGAGCCTTGACCTTCCCCAGTCTATTTCGCCAGTCGTTTCTGTTCATCGCCAACCGTTGCCAATTTGCCGCGCCGATTTTCCTTGCGTCCTCGTCCACACCGTCCCTCCATCTCAGTCGTGGTCTGCCTCTACTCCTATTTCCCACTGTGACCGATAATAGAGTTCGTCTGGGTGGGTAATTTTCATTTGCTCTTGACACATGTCCAGCCCATCTAAGCCTACCTATTTTTATGAAGGATATTACATCTCTACCATTTACTATTTTTTTATACTTCTCGTACAATTCGAAATTATATCGCCTTCTCCAAATACCATTCTCACAGAATGCGCCCATTATTCTTCTTAGTATCTTCCTTTCGAAGACGAGCAGAAGATTTGCGTCTGTTTTGGAGATGGTCCATGTTTCTGACCCATATGTCAGCACTGGTAGGATGAGTGTTCGATATATTATTAGTTTGGTTTTCTGGCTTAAATTTCTGTTTTTTAGCTGCTTGCTTAGTCCAAAATAACATTTGTTTGCTAGCAGTACCCTCCGTTTAACTTCTTCAGATGTGTCATTATCGTTTGTTATGAGAGAACCCAAATATGTAAACTTATTTACTACCTCAAAATTATATTGGTCTATACTGAAGTTTTGTTCGGCGTTTCTAGCTCTATCTCTGTTATTTGGAATAGATGCTAACATTTTGGTTTTTTCCTCGTTTATTTTAAGTCCCATATTTTTGTATACATATATACTTACATATGGTGCAGAGACATTATCACTAACCAAGAAAGTAAGAAATAAAATTTGTGTTACCCAAAGAGCCATGGAACGATCGATGTTAGGCATTTCTCGTAGGGATCGGATCACGAACAAGGAAATAAGACGGAGAACAGGAGTGACAGATGCCATAGAAAGAATTATGACCCTTAAGTGGAACTGGGCGGGGCACATAGCTAGAATGTCGGATAACAGATGGACACAGCGAATAATACAGTAGAGACCGAGACAAGAAGCACATCGAAGTAGAGATCGTCCACCAACAAGATGGTCTGATGACATAAAACGGATCGACAAAAATTGGATGTAAACAGCACAAAACAGAAATACATGAAAAAGACTGAGGGAGACCTATATTCAGCAGTGGATAGATCCGGGTTAAATGATGATGATACATATATAAATTGACTGGGGGATAAAGGGTTAGAATATGAAAACATGGAGTTAATTTCAGTTTACTCCAGTTAGCCTCTTCTACTCAAATCCGACTCTCACCTTCACACTGGTGTCCCCTACAAACCGAGCAACCCAACTATAGATCCGGTATCCAACCTGGGAGGAAAGTTGTGTCGGAAACTGACGAGAGCGGATAAAATGGCCCTCCGAAAAAGAGGGTTTGGCATTGGGTTAAGTACCCAACCCTTTAAAAAACATTTTGTTATGAGACCGACAAAGAAAGAAACCGGACTGTCTAACCTACGACGAACTCGCAAATGAAATAAGGATAATGCTTTATCAGCCTGGAGCCACGGCTCTGCTCATGCACACAAAAAATAAATAAAACCAAAGAAGATATCATTGCTTTACAGGAAATGAGGTGAATTAGCTCAGGCATCCTGAAAAAAAAATAACTGCAATATTTACTATAGTGGACATCCTACCCCAAACGATTTGGTACCGGATTTATTGTAAGCAGCAAGGTCAAACATAGTGTAATTGATTTCAAAGATATTGATCATAGGATATGTCGAATAAGACTTAAAGGGAAGTTCGCTAATATTAGCATTATTAGCATCCATGTTTCAATGGAAGGAAAAGAGGATGATGAAAAAGACATGTTCTATGAGGCACTAGACCGAGAGTACTATGAGTGCCAAAAAAATAACATCAAAATAATAGCAGGAGACTTTACTGCCGAAGTCGGAAGAGAGAATATATTTTCGCCCATCGGAAAAGAGAGAAAAGAAAAGAGAGTTTATGAAAATACTCAGTATATACATAAGTTTAATTTTTGTAAGTATTTTCTCAAGAAATCGTTTTGTTACTCGTGCTAATAAAATTTTCATTATACTACTACTACCCATTAAAGCAGTGTAATTGTTATCTAAATATTCTGTGCTTTATCGGTTTACGATTGTCTCGCGAATTTTCTGTATAAAATACCGTTAAATTTTTATTTTTTCAATTACCCGCTATAATCCCTTAAAAGGTTTCATTGAAAAATACCCCATTAGGTCTAGGAGAATTTTAATTTGGTCACGATGGCTTTTGTTTGCAAATATTTAAACAAGTCGCATAATCCATTTTAAGAATCTACCGAAAAATATCTCGTTAAGTTTTAATATTTTCAGACAAATTCAGAAACGGTATTTTGCGCTGGCAATTGTTTTAAACGTATAAAAAGGCCTACCTTCTTTATTCTATTACCTTTCTTGTTTGAAATTAAGGCGTGAAGAATCATTTTTGCCCAGTGCTGAAGAAGAAATAACATTTGAGCTACTATCTATGTTAGTTATATTATCTAATCTTAATTTGGTAAGTGATATGCGTTCATATGTCCTGTTTGTTTTCCTTATTTTCACTTTTAACATTTTGTTCTGTCTATATAACATATAAAGCCATCAGAAATGTCTATGTTCAATTTAGAACTCGCTGCTTTTTTCTCCTTCGAATTGAGTATGTATATTACCATAGAAAATAAAATAAAGAGGACTATATGAAACTCTATTTGAAAAGTCAAATCAATAAACAAATTATATATACAAAAAGATTATATAAATCATAATATTTACAAATTAAAAAATGCGTGGTAAAGATAAAAAAATGTAGTTATTCATAACCCAAATTGCTTTACAAAATATGAACGAGAGTAATTACACAGCTGTTTTGAGAACTAAATATTATGAGACGAATTGTTGATATCTATATCACACAAACTAAACTGCTTGTCTGCAAAAGAATCAGGAGTATACTAAAATATGATACAATAGGAAAGACTATAATGACTTTTACAGCTAATTGTCACATAAATATCAATGTAATGCAATAAAATGATTTTGTATATAAGACAAATAATATATTATTTGATTTTCTGTTTTATTTTTAATTTCCTTATTTTTTTATGATACAATTTTTGATTAAATTTTGATTTGTTTGATGTTCTTTTTGTTTAATTACCTTTAGTTTGTTTTATTATTTTATTTTATTTTTTCGAACCATATTGTATATTACATCCAATATCCAAGATCGCTTACAAGTTTCTTCTTAATTCTAAAGTTAATACATTATTTTGTTTAAAGTTTATATGTATTTACATTTTCTAATTAACCTAAAAATACAATTGAAGAATTCTATGTTTTTAGAGAAATTTAATATATTTAAGTGAACCGGAAAGCAGACATTAAGGATTTGCAAGTCGCAATATAAAGGTGCAATATTTTCTTGTTGTTTTTCACACTCTATTAGGATGTGTGTAAAATAACCTTGCAGTGTCTGGTAGATTCATTTTGTAGTTTAATGAAGGTGTTAGAGCATGGTTCGATCTTTAATAAATAAATAATAAAACTTTTACTCACATAAAAACATGTTCTCTATATAATACACTCAGATGCAAAGAAAACGCTACGGAGAATATTTTGATAAAATTAAAAGTATTTCAGTTTTTTTTATTTATAGCCTTATTTTGATGATTTATTCTAACTTTGAAACATCCTGTGGAATAATTCCGTTAGCAGATTTTCGTAAAGCCTTGTTTTTCAGTTGCAACCATTTCTTCTAAGTATTATGTTTTTTGTTTCATGTAAAAATATGGATTGGTTCATTTTTAGGAGCAAAATGACTTTGCCACCCACAATTTACGACTTTTCCTACTATTACCATTATCTTTTGTATTAATTTGTAATACGAAGATGGGGGTTTTGGTGACCGATATCGTAGGAATGTCATATCGACATCCCAGAAGCACTGTATTTAAATAATTATTAAAAACAACGACATGATCTTGGTTTTAATAAACAATGATAACAATAACAAAACATAAAAAACAACTTAAATGTAACTTAACCTAAGTAAACAAATAACAAAGAAAAACTAATGAAGTCGTAGGCTTCCACGGCCAGAGTCAGAATTATAGTTTATTCGTCTTCCGAGTTTGGACCGTGTCATTTGTGAGTGACCCAAAAGTGGGTTCATCTCGACGTTTCGCTACAATTGTATGTAGCTTCTTCAGGAGAACAAAGAAAAACGAAAAAGAAATCAAAGGACAGGAAGAAGGGTAGTTAGCAACGGTAACTCAGTTACTCAACGCAACCAGAGGCGAATACTAACTACCAAGATGGGCATTTGGTCACAGTAACTCAACTACTCAACGCAGCCAGAGGTGCGTTAGATTTCTTCCTGTCCTTTGATTTCTTTTTTCTTTGTTCTCCTGAAGAAGCTACATACAATTGTAGTGAAACGTCGAGATGAGCCCACTTTTGGGTCACTCACAAATGACACGGTCCAAACCCGGAAGACGAATAAACTATAATGAAAAACTACTACATAAAAAACAACTTAATACTTTGTATTACGTCACCTAGCCTCTATAACTGCCTGCACACGTCGGCTCATGTTGTCTGAGGATGCGAATATCATATTGCTAGATGTTTTGCCATTCCTCTTCTAGAGCCAAGCGAAGTTCGTTAATTGAGGCTGGTGCGACTTCGCGACCTTTGATATTTCTACCAAGCATGTCCCAAACGTGCTCTATTGAGTTCAGATCTGGCGAACACGCTGGTCAGTTAACCGAAAACGGTTTTCCAAAATTTCAGGTAGTACCTACCCAAAAATATTCTTTTATCAAACTACAATGGGGAAGCTGTCAACACAAAATGTTGTGCAACTGTTAATCAACAGTTTTTCACTCAAGCCTAATGGTGTATGGACCAGCGAAGCAGCAGACGTTTTTAAGAGTAACAAAACTGCCCTTCAGATGGAAGTGATCGAGTATCAGGAAGATTCCGCTTTAAAGGAGGTTTATACTGAAGTTCTAGAATCCAGAAACGCTTGCATGTGGATTAAATATGTGTGTGACAAAAAATATCCAGAACTAAAATCTTTGGCAATGAAACTGTGAACTATGTTTGGCTCAACTTATGTGTTCGAAGCCGCTTTTTTAAAAATGAACTTTATTAAAAATCGGTACAGACCTCGGTTGACAGATAACATCTCGCCTCCCTAATAAGAATCAGTTGCATCAACCTTACTTCAAATTTCAGACAGGTTGTCTTCTTCTTAACGTGCCCTATCAAGTCCCCTTGACGTTGGCGAATAAAATGGCGAAACTGTCTCTGTCTCTAACTATTCTAAATAGTTGCTCAGCTTTCTTTATTCCTGTCCACTCCCTGATATTCTTCAACCAAGAGGCCTGCTTTCTACCAATTCCTCTGCGTCCTTCGATTTTACAAGACAGGTTGTACAAAATAAAAAGTGCCATTTTTCTCACCAATAGTTTAATTTTGTAAGGAGTTTTACCTTTAGTTTTAGACTAATTGTAATCATTAATTTTGAATTTACTTAAACTAATGTACCCCTTCCAAAAACGAGGTGGCCTAGTTGCCTGGTTTCAACTACGTAACGAAGATGATCTCCTGAGGGGAGGTTACAACTACTGGAGGGTTTCTGAGTAACCCGCCCCACCGGTTTGGTTTAGTGCTGAGTGTCCGGACCGCAGAAGTGTAGTGGGTTTTAGAAGCGGCCCACTTACAGAATATAATTGGTGACCCCTTCCGTATGTGGTAGTCAAGTCAAGTCAAGTAAAATTTATTGATCACATGCGACATTATACAAAGTACATGTATGAGACAAGTCAAAAATACAGACATAAATCTTAAAATTATATAAATTAATTAAACACGATAAAACATACTTAAAAATTATTTTTAGAATATGGCTCTAGCTCACAAATGTATTGATGTACACACCTCCGAAAGTTTGGCTGATGTAAATTCATTCGTATATCTATTGGTAATTTGTTAAAGAAACTTATGGCTGCATAATGTGTGCTACCTTCCAACAAAACAGAACGATGTTGTGGAAGCATAAAGTGATTGTCTCTGAATCTTGTTGAATAAACATGAATAAATTGAAATTTATTAAATTCATAAATTTTGCTATGCAAATACAATATACATGAAAATATATACAGACCAGGAATTGTCAGAATATTGTTTTGTCTAAAGATGCCTCTACAAGAATCTTTAAATTTCATTTTATACATTATCCTAATAGCTCTTTTCTGAAGTACGAATATCTGCTCTAATTCAGAGGTACAACCCCAGACTTCAATGCCATATTTGGCTATTGAGTAAAAATGGGCAAAGTATACTGTTTTTAATATTGATGTATGAAAGAGACGTGAAAGAATTCTTAATGCATAACATGCGCTACTTAATCTGGATTTCAAAAATTAGAAATGTGGTTTGACCATTTACAATTACTGTCTAGAAGTACCCCCAGCAACTTAGTGCAGTCTGTTTTATCTATTGCTGCTTCTATAGTGGCTTGATGGTTTAATAAATTATTTGACGTGAAAATCATATACTTTGATTTTTCTTCATTCAAAACTAATTTGTTGGATAATAAATAACTTTTGATGGTGGATAGTATCTGTGAAGTTTTATTTTGCAAATTTTGATCAGACGTTCCTGTGACTAGAATGTTGGTATTATCCGCATAACTAATAATGTTAACCCCAGTCAGTGAATTAGTTACCAAAGTTATATCATTAATAAATACTATAAAAAGTAGAGGAACCAATACACTACCCTGAGGGATACCATAATGGATATCCAATGTGTTTGATTCGTTTACAAGTCCATTAGATGTTATCTTTACTTTTTGTCTTCTATTCTCTAGGTAGGAAGTAAACCATTTTAGAACTATACCACGAATACCAATCCCTTCAAGTTTTATTAGCAACAAATTACGATCCAAAGTGTCAAAAGCCTTGGACAAATCGAGAAATAAACCACATGCCTTTTCTCGTCTGTCAAAGCATCCAACACTAAGCTGACGAAATTTGCAAGAGCTGTAGTTGTAGACTTAGAAGATGTAAAACCATGTTGAAAATTATGCAAGAGACTATGCTTTTTCAGAAATGCGTTCATTCTAGTATAAACTGGAGTTTCAATTATCTTTGAAAACACAGATAAGAGACTTATAGGACGATAGTTGTTAAGGTCATCTTTATCACCACTTTTGAATAAAGGGATTATAATAGATAGTTTAAACATACTAGGAAATATTCCTTGTTGAAAAGAGGCATTACAAATATCCGTTAGTGGATCTGCGAGAGCAAGAATGCATTGTTTTAATAACTTAGGGAAAATCTGATCAAAACCACAACTATGTTTGGATTTAAAACTTCCGACTATACTAGCTATTTCCTGTGGGTTAGTTGGATATAAAAACATAGAAGAACTATTATGGTTTTTTGATGCTGATGTAAACCCATCTATTTTAGTAGGATCCAAAGCGGCAAGTAACTTTGGAGCCATTTCAACAAAATGGTGGTTAAATTTGTCTGCTAAATTACTGTTATCATCACTAGGTACTTTTGAGTTATTTTGTTTCCCGACTGTTAAGTTTACTAAACGCCAAATACATTTAATTTTATTTGATGATTCGTTTAACTGTCTCATGAAGTGACTACTTTTAGCAGCTTTTAATTTAATTGAATATTCTGCCTTTGCCATATGAAGGACTGGCCTAAGACTACTATTTTGCTGACAGATAATAAACGACAGACAGACGTAAACCAATTCGAACGTGTACATTTTTTAGGTTTGGTTATTGGTAGGCAGAATACTTCGTTATACTATGACATAATGATAACAGTCACCAAAACCACCTCATAGTATTACAAAATAACTCCAAAATAATCATACCTAAAAAATCCTAAATTGGCAATTGCATAATATTCATTTGGCTCTAAAAAATGAACCAAGGCATATTTTGACATAACACCAAAAAACGCAATGCTCAGGAGACATGATTACAACCGAAAAATAAGGTTTTATGAAAATTCACAAACGGAATTATTCCACAGGACGTTTCAAAGTTAGGACAATAAAACCACGTTTTAATTAACCCTGTACAATAAGTCAAATATAAAATTTTATCAAAAAACTGAATATACAAAATTAAAATTTAGTAACGTATACCGACCACGTTACTAATGAGGGTGTTCTGTTGAGAATGAAAAAAGAAAAAGAGCTGAAAAGTAGAAGGAAAACGGGGACCAGAAAGGCGAAGGATTTTCTGGCTGAAAAATCTACGAACGAGGTTCAACACAACAACCACAAATCTTTTTAGAGCAGCAGTGTGCAAAGTGCAGATTGCCATGATGGTCGCCAACATCCGAAACGGATAGGCACTACCAGAAGAAGAAGAAGAAAATTTAGAAATTGATACACAGTGTGCTGAAAAAATCATCAAAATAGGACTAAAAATTAAAAAAATTTAAATATTTTGAATTTGACCAAAATTTTCCGGGTAGCGTTTTTTTTTGCATATTAGTGTATAAATCTTTCTCAAATAACTTAATGGTATTTACTAAACATGTAATTTTAACTCATTCATTTACAAGATCTTATTATTAAAAATTAGCGCATTCTTGTATAAAAGCTTAATAAAGACCTTACTTAAAGAAGAATTCAGCTCAGTGTGCAGTGTTTATTAAAAATACTGATGTAATATTGGGGCATTACTGGCATTGTTTTGGACCGTGATATTAAAACTTCCTTTGTAAGTGAACCTGCACAACGTGTATGCTTAACTATTTCGAACTTAAATTTTGAATCATCAACGTAACAACCGAAGCTACCAACTTTGCAGGAATTCGTACTTTATTTCAAGTCATATTAACGTGAAATAGCTACGCAATTTAAAGCTGTCACTAAGGAAATTAAACAATCGGCAACATTAATTTAGAAACAAAATGGAGCAACAAAAAGCGGAGAAATTGGAAGTGCTTGTTTCACAAACATTTTAATGATTTTATGTCGATTAGCATCTACTAAATTTTTCTCAATCTTTTAAAGAAAACTTAGATTAAAATCTTTCGTCTATTTAATGTGTTGTTCAGATTAAGATATGTTATACTATCGATAAAAACAAGAGAACAGAAAGTAGTTACAAAGAATATAAACGACAAAGAAAGGTCGTTTCAATTTCCACTTCGGAAATTGAAACGTCAATAAACGTATTTTTATCTTTAATTGTGGCTTATTCCTAGTTAAATAGTAATTAAAATACGGATTTCGAAATAAATATATTCTAAAGCTTCGGACAAATTACAGTAGAGAAAGAGATACCACCAGCACAAATATCGAAAAAATTAAAGCACTTATTGGGCTTCTATATTTTTCGTAGAGATTTTTCGTCCTACAGCGCTTGGCTTTGACGATCTTGATGATAGAGGAACGGAAACAGTACGATAAGCTATTTCCTATAAGAGAATTTTTTGATGGATTTGTTGAACGAAGCAAAGCCAATTATTCTCTAAGCGAATTTGTGACAATTGATAAAATGCTTTTTCGCGACAAATACGGATTTCGGCAATGAGTAAAAAATAAACCTGCAAAGTATGGAATCAAAATATTAGCGCTTGTTAATTCCACGTCATATTACATCTATAATCTAGAGGCGTATCTTGAAATTCAACCAGATGGGCCCTATAAAGTTGACAATAGCGCCTCCACCAAGATTAAATATATGGGTAAAAACCCGTTAATTAAACATCTGTTAACGGGTTTTTACTCATATATTTAATCTTGGTGGCTACATTCATGTACTCCTAGTAAGTATTAACCACATTTTTCATTAACCTTAGTCAAAATTTTAACCTATGTTCTTTTTAATTAAGTGGTTAACTATTTTCTAGGACACTGATGATGGAACATGGTTTCCGAAAACGTTATGTCTTGTAACTTAGCCCGTTTGGGCCTTAAATATATACCTATTACAAAGGATTTTTAATTAAATTTTTAAAAACTTTTCTTTTCAGACACATTGGAATCTTATGCGGTACTAAAAATATCCTTTATCTTTCGAAATGCAGCAAAACCGAGGTTT